GAGTCTGGCTCCTGATTCGGCAGGCAGAGCTGCCCTTTGGGGGTGAACTGGTTTAACAGTCCTTTCTAATCCATGGTGAGAAATAACCAATCACATGACTGATACTTGATCCTCCGACCAGCCTACCATCTCCCTGAAGATTATGCATATGACCACAACATTCAAAGTATAACCAGAAGTTGCTTCTTGAGCCGAGGCTAGTGAGATGGGTTAGTTGATGATCTTTGCAGCTATTGTCACCTGCTCCAACGGCCTGATCTCATTTAAGTTTACGGTGAAGGAAGACAGTTATGTTTTTGTTATTGTTGTTAATTCTCACCCAGGGGTATTTTTTCCATTATTTTTAGAGAGAGTGGAAAGGAGGGGGAGAGACAGAGAAAAACATCAATGTGAGAGAGAGACATCCATTGGTTGCCTCCTGCACACGCCCTGACTGGGGCCAGGGATTGAGCCTGTAAGCGAGGCACGTGCCCTTGACTGGAATCAAACCTGAGATCCTGCAGTCTTTGGGCCAATGCTCTAACCACTGAGCAGAACTGGCTAGGGCAGGTGTCTTTTTTTCATGGACCAGTTACAGCAGGGGTCCTCAAACTTTTTAAACAGGGGGCCAGTTCACTGTCCCTCAGACCGTTGGAGGGCCGGACTATAGTTTAAAAAAAATTATGAAAAAATTCCTATGCACACTGCACATATCTTATTTTGAAGTAAAAAAACAAAACGGGAACAAATACAATATTTGTATTTGCATGTGGCCCGCAGGCCGTAGTTTGAGGACCCCTGAGTTACCCCTTAAACAGTGCCGAAGAGAGATGCCTACGTTTTCTCCTGAAATACTTACAATTCCCTGCTAGCCTGTTTCTTCAGAAAGAATATGTACTGATTGTAATGCAAAGGTGTAAGTTTTCTCAATCGTGATTTTGTCCAGCCTTCTTAAGTGACACCCAGGTTACCTGGATTTGAATTTGGCTCTCCTGAGGCCATCTAAGTCACTTAATCTTAGATCCTTCTAATTTGCTTTTTAAACGTAAGCTTACCTTTAATGTGAATATTATAATAGATTTTGCCCTATAAGAAATACTTCGATGTCTCTAATTAAAGACACTATCATGATAGAGTGACTATGAAAGCAGGGCCTCTGGACCACGTTCAGTGTTAAATGTTTTATAAGCATTGATCATTTTTAGGAGTGTATTTACCCACTTACAGAGGAGGAAGCTCAGGCATGTAGAAGTTGAATAACTCTTCCAGGTTTACACTGTTAATAGCAAAGCTAGATTGAAATTCAGATGATAATTCCAAAGCTGATGCTTTAACGTCCTCATTTGGTATTTTTCCCCCCGGGACTTACTCCCCGGGAGAAGGCATTCAGAGCAGCAGAAATAGAATACCTCTACTCCTAAAGACGGTGATAAACACAGATTCGGCTTCTGCTTCAGACCAGCTACTTTACATAAATTTTTATGGCTTATGCATACCTGTAATGTCAGTATCATTAAAAAATTTTTATTCATGAGATAATTAAGGTTGAAGAGATCAAATAACTTTCATAAAGTCTTACAAGAAAGTAACTGGATTCTCTGAGCCCCAAACCAAAGCCCAACGGCCTCGGTAGATGGAAGTCTTGGGCCCTCCTGGGAGTCGCGTTTTACAGTACAGCTCAGGCCTGGAGTGCATGGCCGAGCGAAGGAGTGGGGGGATCAGGGGTATTAAATGGACAAAGGAGAATTCTGAAACATCAGGTGGACACTTGGGGTGGTAGAAAAAATAGACTCTTGAGTGGGGGTAACAGAGATTTTTAAAAATACCCTTTTCTAATAAACTAAAGGCATGTAATGGAGAGAAAAGAGTCCTATAGTTATTTAGAGAACAGATTGTGCGTGGATTTTTTCTCCTTTTTCAGATAGGTGGCTTAGATGGGAAAATTGTTCACAGATGTGACAGTAGCTCAACTCTCTAAGACCAAAAAAATTCAGCGTGTGGTGTTTTTAAATTCAAAGCCTTGGAGTAGTGCTCTGTCCACAGTATGTTGGTACCCGCTAGGGGGATGGGAACGTTTTGGTGGCTGAGATTACTCTTGTATTTTTAACTTTCTGGTGGGTGGGTGCTTGGCAGCAACAAAGGCAGGAGTGGTCTCAGTTCCTTTGGCTTTTACTCAGAAACTATTTACCATCACAATAAATCGCCAGTCTCCTTAGCATCAGGTCCCTGGTGATCAGGTGTCCTATTACAGCACCTGATAGCATCACCACTACCCGCATAGTTACCTTATGTACATCCTCTTCTCTTCAATAGTGAGCCTTTTCACACTGGATTCATTAGGAAAGGGAGTCTTTATTCCGTCGTGTACATAGAGGGGCATATTTGAACAATGGCAAAAGGCAATGGACTTGGGGCCTAGGAGAAAAAGGATCCTCTTCCTTTCCTTCCTATCCTTTTGGCCTCTTCTGAATGGATTTCAAGTATAACTGAATGTGTCTCTTGGGAGTGAAAGCCACATTTGATTAAGCTGGTCATATGGAGCAGAGCTGGGTTAGGTTTTAGGGGACAGGAGCAGAAGTTTAGGTGTAGTCCGGCTTTCACAGAGTAATTTTATGGTCCAGTTGACAGAATCGTAGAACGGAGTTTTGGCAAAGACTTAGAAGTCATCTGGGCAAACATCCGCACCAGGGACAATTTATTCTTCCCCATCTTCCCAGGCAGCTCAGCATCTACCTGAGATCTGCTAGCCAGGACACTGGCCGGAAGCGTGAACCTGCTAGCACAGCGAGGAGTGCCCTGCGGGCTCTGTGACTGGAGGAGTGTGCAATTAGAGACTTTAGATCTGTTTGGAGTAAACAGAGTTGGTTATGATTATGCTTCATAAATACAGTGGCATGACACCTCAGTCATCTTGCTCTGTTATAGAGAAGCTCTAATTATTATTGGGGAGTGCTACCTTGTTGCCATTTCTTCAAGCCTTGGAACCAAAAATGTCCAAAATTAAATGCCATTTCTGCCCCCTCCTGACTTCGGGCAAATTCCCAAACTTCTGGCTTTAAGTTTTTGCATGTGAAAAAAGAAGACAATATCTAAGGAGGGAGTCTGTGAGTTGTGCTCTGGGACATCCTTGTAGAATCTGGCACATCGTAGGCATTTTACATGACTGTACCCTGTGGGCCTAATTCTCCTTTTTTTGCTAGGCATGTGGTAAGTGATTCCGAGCTAGAATTCCAGTGGTCACCTGTCCAGGACAGAGTAAAACAGCTCTTGCTTTATATGTACGTTGTGGGAGTTTATTACATATAACTCAATGTATGAGTTCTTTTCGAGGAAGGTAAGACAGGATGTGGGCTACTGAGCTGGAAACTTAGGGACTATGCACCAGCAGAGGCCGATCTGCTTTCCTGAATCGATGGCCACATGATGGTTGCAAAGAGCAAGATCATTAGGTTGCCTGGAGGCGTGAAAAAGAAGGGAAATACAGGCTTATGTCAGAATTTATTAGCATCAACTAAGACTTCTAACCCCCAACAAGTGGTGGAAAAGTGAAAACTTCAGTTACACGATTGTTTGGTCTGCATTAAACAAGCAGTTGGAGCGATTCCTATTAGTCTCACTGGTTTTATTTTTCAACTTTGTTTAGAAACAGCCTAAATAATTAAATTTTTTAAAGTGACTTTCTGCTGCAACTATTTATAATGCCTATTTGTAAACTACTCAGTATGTATTAGCAAACGTTTCAAAGGCCCTGAGGGTTAAGGGGTCAGGTGAATGAGGCCTTTGCCTGATATTTATACGAGATTGACAATGTTGGGAGAAGGAAAAGCTACATTTTCTCCATCATCCTTTCCCAGAATGTGTTTACTTTATGACAAAAGCCTCCCCTGATATTCTTGTTAGGACTTTCATTTTGGGAAGCACATTATTAATTTTTAAGTAGTCCCTAAATAATTATCGTACTCTTTCTGAAAACCTGTTAATGGGGACGAATAACTTCCATAAAGTAGGCTAGGCAAATTCTGACATAGCATTTCAGTAGGGAAGGTATTAATGCTATTTCCTCATTCTAAAATAACCTGAAACTAGGGAAATGGCTAGTATTCTGCAGTGGTCTGGCCATTTGTTTGATAGGGGTGCAGTAACACCATCACTGTCTCAGTAAAGTGGTTGCTTAGAGAACCTGTGACATAAATCTAAAGGTTTTTATTTTACACCCCAAGGAGCTTTACCAAAGGTCATCTGTTTTCCACAAACTGACGGCTGTTGGTATTATTTTGACATGGAAAGCATTTCTGCTTCATTTACATTTAGTGTGGTTTTTTTAAAATATTAAATGTACCTTAGATACTGGTGAATGGGCTGTGAGTTATGGCTGGATGGTAATAATAATCCATTAAGTTGAACGCTCTGTTTTCTAGCCCTGGTGGATAACTGAGAGAGTGTGTGTGTGTGTACTTGTGCACACAGGAACCTGTCCTTGAGCACCTTAAAAACCTGTTGCCAGTAGTTCCCACATCTTCAAGTCTCTTTAGCCTATCATTTTGACTCCGTTTGGCCACATGGCTACAAACCCATTGTAATTTCACATTCACCTTATGTCAATTTTGAGATAAGTTATTTATTAAAAAGCAGTTCACAAGGGGAGAAAATAAAGGAGACATATATAATACTCTTTGTAATACTTTAAGCAATAAAACAATTTAAAAAAATAACAATAAAGCAGTTCAGTAAATATGTAAGGGACAAATCAATTTAACTACTTTTAGTTTAAAGCATTTCTTTTAAAGGGTAATGTGTCGCAATGGATTGTTTTCTTAGGGAGAAAATAATATTCGAATGTTTGGGGTTTTTTTAAAAAGAAGATCCTAGTAGGAATATTAATCTGAATTATATTTAAATACAAAAAGACTGAATTTGAAAATAATTTACTATGTGACTATTTTGAATGCTATATCTCTTCTGTAGTATCTTTACAGATATCTATCCATTAGATATATGACATGTGTTATTTATTTTTGTAGTTAAAACAGAGCCAATGAGCAGCAGTGAAATAGTTTCAACAACAGCAGACGGGTCTTTAGACAATTTCTCAGGTTCAGGTAAGGAATAAGTATTAGATTCTTAACGTTAATACAAGAAATTTATTTTCCCCAGTTTATTTATATATACAAGTATGTATATGCATGTGTGTATATGTATGGTAAGGTATATATCTGTATGTATATCATATAAATAATACAACTTTTCTCAGAGTGACACATTTGCAGTTCTGATATTTTTAAGTGTTGGCGGGAAACGTTGGTATCCTACAAAGGAGAGAAAATCAAAATGGGTGTTTTCTTTCTTCTGTAAATTATCTTTATTATGTTCATGGCTCCTTCCCTTTTTGTCTTATTTTTATAATTTTTCCGATCCTGCAGATTTCAGTAGGTGAAAGTCAGCTTCTGATACCCCCTAAGCAGACTTATGAGCCTTCCTTCTAAGCAATTGCATGTCCATTATAGACCTAAATTACACAGATTTGTAAAGCAGCTTGAAAACCTCAAGTTTTTATTTTTTTAAAATGTATATATTTTTTGATTTTAGAGAGGAAGGGAGAAGGATAGAGAGATAGAAACATCAATGATGAGAGAGAATCATTGATCGGCTGCCTCCTGCACGCCCCCTACTGGGGATCGAGCCCGCAACCCAGGCATGTGCCCTTGGCCAGAATCGAACCTAGGACCCTTCAGTCTGCAGGCCGGTGCTCTATCCACTGAGCCAAGTTAGTTTTTAGCCTCTTTCACATCTGTGATTGTGAAATTGCTGATAAGGAAGTGATTGTGATAATAAAACAACTGTGAGGATATGATCATAAATTGGCCAAATTGCCCAACTTGGACCATTTCAATGAAAAATCATTTCTATCAGAAGTAATTCTTAAATGTTTAACCATTTTCATATTGCCTGTTGTATTTATTAAACCTCTCAATAGTAAATGCTATACTTTTATAAATTTGTGATTGATTTAATCTAGCTCTCAGGATCATTTATTTAATACACACCACAATTCAAAGGAATTATATATAGACATAAAATAAAATGCAAATGCATAACTTTTATACTAACGATACCAGTACCCATTAGTTCTTCTGAAAAACACTCACTAGGATTTGGCTTATGCCAGGCAATGTGCTTTGTGCTATTATGGATTCAAAGATGTATGAGAATGGTCCCAGCTTGGGGCTTAAGGGGCTGAACTAATGACCAGGCCATCACAGGAGAGTTTGACAGTGGCAGAGGGAAGCCTCGGACTCCAAAGCACACCCAGGAAGAGCCCAGCAGAGACTGGGTGGGGTGAGGTGGTCAGAGAAGGCTTCTTGGAGGAGATGCTTGCACTCAGCCTTAAAAATAGAGTAGGAATATAGGGGGTCAGCCCTACGCCCATATTCTGTGAATGAAGGAAACAGCCCCCACTCCCACTTTATATGAAGGAAAGGGTCAGCCTCAACCCCCACTCTAGGAAGGAAGAGGTCAGGGTGGAGGCATGGAGATTTTCTAAGCTGGTTAAAAAGAAAAAGAAAGAAAAAAAGAAAAAGAAAGGTAGGAACAAAGCACACGTGGACCTGGGGCATTCAGTGGGAGGAGACCAGTGTGCAGACTGCTAATAGTTCAGCATCCTTGGGTGTACCGTGTGAGCCAGCAGTGGGGGCATGCTGCAGAGGGCGCAGGGCTGGAGTCCTGCATGGTGTTTGTGTTTTGTCCTGAGTGCAGTGGGAGGCATCAGAGGAAGGGGCTGTATGATCATGGTCACATACAGAATCATGGCTGCCGCTGGATGGAGGGGAGAATGGTGAACTGAAGTGGAGACGCTGGTTATATATATATATGTACTTGCATTGATTTATGCAAGAAATACTGGAGACCTGAGGTCAGGTGCTGGCAGTGGGTGTGGGAAGGTGACAGGTTAAGATGTATTATGAAATAGAATTTGTGGTCATCGTGACCAGTGAGCACGGAGGATGCCGGATGGGTGAGGCAGAGAGAGAAGTTCATAATGAGGGATGTAAGAGGAGAAGACTGAGAAAGAAGGGTGGAGACTTCAGTTTGGGGTGTGTTGATTGTGAGGTAATACCCACCTGAAGAAGTAGGAGCTCAAGAGAGATCTGGAAAGGAAATTCTGAAAGAATTTCATATGTACAGAGAGTTTACAGGGTTGAACCCTGTAAAAATTAATGATGGTGCTCTCTGGATGGTGGAGTAGAATTTGTATTTTGTTATTTTTGTGTTTTTTTTCAAAAAATCTTCCCAGTGCATATGTATAATACATATACATTTAAAAAGTAATGATTTTAAAGTTGAAAATCACCTACTGTAAATGGATAAGTTTTTGAAAGTATGGGTAATAGTATTGCATCATTTTTCCTGTTATTGATAATGGTATTGTGGTAAAGGGATTCCTTGTTTTTAAGAAAGATACACTAAAGTGTTATTAAAAGGACAACAGATTGCAGCTCTAAAAATGTAAAATACACATTGTATACATATACATCTAAAAGAGAATAGATAAAGCTAATCTAATAAGATGTTAGCATTTGGGGAATTTGGGTGAAGGGTATTGGAAGTTTTTTTTTCCTTTTCTTCCAACTTTTCTGCAAGTGTCAAATTATGTCAAAATGAAAAATTGAAAAATGAGAAGCATCAGTGGAGTGAGTCTGTAGCAGTTTCCATGGATGGATGGATGGACTTCCGTTCCCACAGCCCAGAGGCCCCATTTCTGTGTCTCTAACATAGTTCCTGACAGACAGTATGTGCTCATAAAGTATGTTGAATGGACGGATGGTTTAAGGAATAAGAAGAGAAAGTGGACACAGAAGAGAAAAATGTCCTTCAAGCACACATGGTGAAAGGAGAAGGAGAGAAGGTAGTCATTAGAAAGAGGGCTACAGGGTTGAGGATGGCATTGAGAAGGTCAGGGGGCGTTTGCTGCCCCACAAAACCTTTCCAGAGGTAGAGGAGGGTCAAGATATAGGCAAAACAGGGGATAATTGGTGGTGGAAGGAAGTCCTTGGTGGGACTACAATGGCTTAAATCCCAAACAGAAGTGAATCATCCTGGAAAAGGAATAACTGTTCCACGGAAATATCAGGAAAGGTGAATGGAGAGTAATGCAGGTGAGTTTGAAGTGGAGGAGGGGGCAATACATTGAGGGAACTCCTGCCTGATTTCTCCGCTCTAACTCTCCAATGGCTCCCGTTCATCTCTAAAAGCCGAGTTCTTGCAATAGCCTACCTGCCCCATCAGAGCTTACTGCCTGCCTCCCTTGCTCTGTGCTATTCCTCCAACATGCCAGTGGGTATGGGAAGGTGACAGAGGCGTTTCCAATCAGGACCTTTGCAGTGGCAGCCCTCCGGGCTGGACTGCCACCTTTAAGTCTGGGCTCAGATCTCACCTTCTGAATGAGCCCGTCCTCATCACCCTAGTCCATGTTGGAAAGCTCTCACTATGGACTTGCAGTCTTCCTAACACACTGAGCCTCCTCCACCACACACACACCCCATAACACTTAGACTGTTTTTACCAACTATATCACTTACCCATGTATTAGGTTTATGTTGGTCTCTCTCCCCGCCCCCAACAAAATGTAAGCTTGTGGGGGCAGGGACTTGGTCGTGTTTCATTCATTTGTATCCCCAACACCTGAACTGGTACCTGGCACTCAGATATTTGTTAAGAGGATTGACAGTAGAGTCAAAGGTCCAAAGATGGAACTAATGAGCGGACCCTTTACGGCAGAGCGGTTTCTCTTTATGGGGCTTAGCTGCCCAGAAAAGACATTGTCTGGATCCAAGATTGAGGATTTTCCAGGTAGGGCACGGAGAGAAGAGGATTAAGATGACCAGTAAAAGAATGGTTTAAAGTACCATTAATTATTTGCCCTGACTGGTGTGGCTCAGTTTAAGCATTGTCCTGTGCACCGAAACGTCACCAGTTCTGAGGCAGGGCACACTCCCTGGTTGGGGTATGTGCTGGGGGCAACAGATCAATGTTTCTCTCTCTCCTCCCTTCTTCTCTTTCTTAAAAAAGTCAGTAAAAACATATATTTTAAAAATAGTAATTATTTATGAATCCAGGAGAGATAGAAAGAATGAAAAGGTAGGGACAATAAGTTGCAAGAAGATTAAGGACAGGGGTCCTGCATCTCTTGATGAGGTTGGAGAACAGGTAACATGGGAACAAAGCAGTGAAAATTCTGGAAAGAGAGGGTGTTTCTTCCTTAATCTCAAAACCGGTGAGGGTTCTACCACATGCTGCTGCAGCTGGTTCTCTGTGCTTCCCTTCCTCAGCCTTTGTCACTACCTTTAGAATTAGTTTTCGTGGCCCTTCCTCCTCCTAAATACAGCCTGTGAGAACGGGGGTTCTATTTGCCCTTTCACACTTACAGTCCCAGAGGCCAGCATGGAGTCGAGCACATGCGCGATGGTCAGTCAATGTTTCTTAAGTAAACACCTGATTGGGTCATTGCTGTTGTGGAATGAAGAAAAGGGTCCAGGATGTGGTATTGTGCTTGATGATTGACATAGAAGGCTAGAGTTGAGGGTGAGATAGAATGAGGAAAGGGTTGGATGCATAACCCAAGATAATGTTGGGTCTTGTCGGGACACAGTCAAAACACTACATTTTTGATAAACGCAAGGCGGTGTGTAGGAGATGGGTCGCCATGGGAACGTTGTCACAAATCTCAGGGAAGGGAGGGTTTGATGGCTGAGCAGAAAAGCAATGGTTTGGAAGAAGCAGCGGTGAGGACACATGATCAGGCCTTTGTGGTATCTGGAATCTGAGAGAACGAGCAGCCTCTGCTTGGAAAGGACGTGCAGGCAAAGCAGGGGCTTAGCTGGAGGCGGAGGGGGAGTTCGATGAGGAGCCTGAAGAAGCTGCAGAGCATCTCGTCTTCCACAGATTGATTCTCTGATGGACACAGAGGGAAGGATCAGGTGAGCGAGGGGATTGGATCAGGCATAGGAAGCTTGGAGCACCGTGGGGATGGACATTCTTTTCACATCCTTTACCTTTCTTTTTCCTTCGCTTCTAACTTCCCTCTCCCCTCCCTTTCTTCTTT